GTACTCAATATACTGTGTACTCAGTACAAGCTCTGCTCACATGTACATGGGGGCCATATGTACTCAATATACTGTATACACAGCACAAGCTCTGCTCACGTGTACATGGGGGCCATATATACTCAGTATACTGTGTACACAGCACAAGCTCTGCTCACATGTACATGGGGGCCATATATACTCGATATACTGTGTACTCAGCACAAGCTCTGCTCACGTGTACACGGGGGCCATATATACTCAGTATACTGTGTACACAGTACAAGCTCTGCTCACTTTTTTTTGCAGTGCTACACGATGGTTGTGCTCCACTGCTAATGGCTAGTATTTACTAATTAAAAAGTTGTATTCTCTGTAACACATTGTGGAGTGTAGAAGTGGAAAACCGAGATACTCCTGTGCTTAGGGATGGACTCAATATCATTAGGACCACATAACGAAATTCTTGGGATATGCACGCCTTGATGCCCATAAAGGACCGGGGGAGTCCAAATATACTGCATAGAGAGAAACAAACAGAGGGCGCACCGGCCTAGTGCATTATTGAATGTTAAATATAGGTATTGTACTTACAAATAGTCAATAAATAAAAGGCACATCATGAAGGAACAGCTCTGTCCAATTTGCACTGCGTATCTGTCTGTAATGAGAATTCTGGACATCCAAAACTGACGCGTTTCGAGGACTAGCCTTTTCCTCAGAGACCAATTCCACATTGTGGAATGTGCTTGTATCATAAAATTAGTAAAATCAATGGGAATGCTTAACCCTTACCTAGTGAAGTGACTGGCCCCAGGTGATACACAAAGAGGAAACAAACGCTGCTACAAACGCTGCTACATAATTTGTAGCTGTTTATCTGCAGCCCTCCTTTCTCTACAGCCAAATGCAGAATTTATACAGCTTGTCTGAGATTTCAGAAAGGGGGGCAGAGCTGAAGTTACACACTGCAGAGCTCAGTGAGGAGAGCTCTGAGAGCAGATTGGAGAGAAGGGACACACCCCCCTTCACACAGGAACAGAGCTGAGGCTGTCAATCACAGGCTGTGTGATGGAGCTCCCATTCCTGTCACCTTTTTATTCCTTGGTGTCAGGAAAACCTGTTAGAAGTGACTCATGCAGATAGCATAGAAACGAGGCAGCAAAGATAAATCACACTTAGGGTTCTAAGTGGAATTAAACTCCACTATATATTTTTTTAAATGGGTCCTCAGGAGGTTTAGGTCATAATCTACTAGTATGCACTGCATATTAACACATTATGGCAGACTTACCTGTCAACCTAAGCCCTCCAGTGCTGAGCTGTCAGTGTTCCAGCTCGTCCCGGGCATTTCCATCTTCTCCTGGTCTACCTTCCGGGTCCGCTTTGTTTGGCAGCTTGAATGGCTGGGCTGTGATGACATCAGTCCTGCGCATGCGCACTGGAGTCACTCCACCATAGCACAGAGTGCCACTGTAAATATACTTTGAGCTGCGCATGCATGGCTCAGTGTACATTACTGCTGATAGGCAAGGAGAAGCATTTAAGACAGAAGAGAACACTAGGGTCTCTTCTGTCATAAAAAACCTACCTGTCAGTGGGTTGTACATTTTTTAGTTTAATCTTGCTTTAATTCCTTCTAACTCAAACTCATTCGCAGACACCAAAGGTATCTACAAAATCCTCAGGCAAAAACTGAAACCATTGAGCCCTGTGTTGGATAAACATGCACAACTTGTCAGTGCAGTGACAAGATCAAGTTATACTATACTATATGCATCACATTGGTGCATCTAACATCTGTAGGGAGCTGGTCACATGATAACATTAACACCCTATTCACACTTAGGCGACTTGTCATACGATTTTGGACATCAAAATTACATGACAAGTCATACCCCATGCTTTTCAATGACAACCATTCATGTATCAACTCAAAGTAGTTCATGTATTACTGTGGTCCACCGTTCATGCAACTTGAGGGCCATAGACTTCAATGTTAACCAGGGGCGGACTGACCATTTGGAAACTCGGGCACTGCCCGAGGGCCCGGGTCAGTAGGGGGCTCCATGAGATGCCCCTGGTACCTTTTTCATAGGCTTTTTTGAGTTTGGGCAAGGACACAGGTGCCCCATGATCCCCTATTGCCCGGGGGCTCCATGAGTTGTCAGTCCGCCCCTGATGTTAACCCTCAAAAGTTGCAAGATTGTTGTACCTGAATGTTTTACATGCAACAGTAATGAAACTGTGGGAGCGACTTTGCAGAGGGGGACAAGTCACATCCAAGTCCCACCCATCCAAAATCGCGTCAAATTTACACCAAAGTTGCACTCCAAAGTCGCTGGAGGCGTAGGAGTATGAATGGAGCCTAAAACAAACATGATATATCTCTTTCAGAACATCCAGGGAAGAAGCTAAAGGTTTTTATGTGTGTACTTGTACCCCCGAAGTTGAAGAGAGACAGAACACACCTTTTGTGTCATATTTAGCTGTAGAGTTGCCTCTGTCTTGTATAGACAATTGGGTGGTTTACATAAACAGATTTTTTTGTATTTCCTTTATAATCACAAGACAATCTTCATACATATAAACAATAGATTTACATCAGTTTCCCCTAGTATATGCAACTATAGCTCTTGCTTTGGGTTTGGGTTCTCCCATGGACTGGTAGCCGTGTAATGTATATACCCTCTGGATTATACAGGACGACCCCCCATACAGCGGAGTGTATATATTAACGTGACCACAGCAGGATACTTTTACTAAGAGTGATAACATATGATCCTGAGGAAGTGGGATGACCAGCGAAACGCGTAGACCGACTTATGTTATATTGACCACTATAATGTCACAACGCTGGAACTCATCATTACTAATGTGATCAGCATTTTTTTTACATCTGTAGTAATTGTTGACTTTTTATAAGATTTGGAGTAAAGCATATATGTTTTATGTAACTACTTTGTGATCATCTGGAATCCCAATGGCATATTTAAAGTCCAATTTATAACTTGGCTTTTTAATTTTGTTTTTATGTGTACTTGAATATCTGATGTTTGTAATCAGGGAGTCATTAGATAACTGTGCCCAGGAGCGGACTGACCATTTGGAAACTCGGGCACTGCCCGAGGGCCCGGGGTCAGTAGGGGGCCCCATGAGATGCCCATGGTACCTTTTTCATAGGCTTTTTTGAGTTTGGCAAGGACACAGGGGCCCCATGATCCCCTATTGCCCGGGGGGCCCCATAAGTTGTCAGTCCGCCCCTGACTGTGCCACTAACACTTCATTAAAGATTAAGAGGTCAATGTGACAGCCACTTAAAGCTCCCACAGTAAAACTAAGGTGAGACTAAACAATATTATTTTCTAAATTCAATCTATATTCATCCACTACTTAGCTCTCATGCACACGGGACGTTTTGATAACGCCGGTAACGTTAGCTATGTAAAGTCACATTAAAAACTTGAGTTTTTCAGCTTTTTTTACCATTTTCGCATTAGCGTTTAGCGGCGTTTTCTCGCGTTTGCATTTTTTTGCAAAAAAAAATAATTATTTTTTTTTGGTAAAAAAAGTCCATAAACGTCAGTTTGCGGCACTTTACCATGTTTTTCCACGTTTTTCACCGTTTTTCAGCATTAGAGCATTTTTACAGCTAAAAAACTCCTCTAGAAACCCACTAGTTTTGGGTTTTTTTCTTGCCAAAAAAACACATAGGATAACATGCTGGGGAGTTTATTGACTGTAGAGCAAAATGTGAAACGCCAAAAACAGTAGCTGTAAAAACGTCCCGTGTGCATGAGGGCTTAAAGTGGGACTAAACCTTTTCAGCCAAATAAGTTGCCATCTTAATCTCTGTTTGACCTGCAGCTGCCATGGTGCTGCACATCAGGTGATCAGGTGTGATACCAGCTACTTAATGGTTTGACAGTTTGATTGAAAGCACAAGCAGACGTGATAGATCCCAGCAATCCCTGGAATTGAATTGCTTTTTGAAACCCTTAAATCAATGACTTTAGTTCCACTTTAATAGCCCTGTAATTATTTTTCATGAAATTGTTTCTTACTGTGTTCTTGTGCCTCCCCCATCACTTCTGTGCAGTGCACATTTGCGATCATGCGCTCTGCTCTATGAACACTACATATCCCAAAATGCATAGTACACAGTCCACCTCTGGAGCAAGCAAAAGAGGGTGACTATGTTCTTCCATACCGTGGAGGATGCACTGAGTTTTTCTGCCTTGCTATAAAATCCTCCGTGATCTTCTGAACCTCTTCTTTTCCCTTTCACATCCATTTTTTGGAATGTGCAGTGCACGTTGTTTGCGATCATGTGCTCTGCTCTATGAACAGTACATATCCAAAAATGCATATTCCATAGTCCATCTCTGGAGCAAGCAAACAAGGGTGGCTATGTTCTTCCATACTGTGGGGGATGAAAATAGCCACCCTGTAGAAACAAGTCAGATCACAGCAGCAAAAGCAAAGGAATTTGGGGATTTGGAGGAGACTCAGAGCAACAGAAGACACTTTTTATATTTTATTTTCTAAACCAAAGTTTAGGGTCACATTAATTTGGCAAAAAGAAACTCATCTTCTTTGGGACTGGCACACTTTGAACATTAAAAGCATGTTACTTGATGATAGCACAGTGGCTAAATGGTTAGCACTTCCACCTGGAAGTATTAGGGTCATTGGTTCAAATCCCAACCACAGCACCTCCTGCCTAGAGTTTGCATGTTCTCCCTGTGCCTGTGTGGGTTTCCTTCCACACTCCAAAGACATGCTGGTAGGTTAATTGGATCCTGTCTAAAGTGGCCCTTGTATATGGATGTGAGTTAGGGACCTTAGATTGTACACCCCTTGAGGGTTAGGAACTGATGTGAATGTACAATATGTATGTAAAGCGCTGTGTAAATTGATAGTGCTATATAAGTACCTGAAATAATAACTTTAATCAGTACTGTACACAGAGATGAGACCATGCCAATGACGCAAAATAAAAACTGCTAAATTCCACTTACATTTTGTCTTCAAAACAGATTGTAGGGCCGACCACATTGGCTGCTCCACTTATGGTTTTAAAGGCAAAGTAATTTTCTGGACAGTCCTTCTCATTTCCACATTTCCTGTGTGTTTTTTTCTGAACTAGAAAGAAGTAAAATCCATTATATTTTACTAGAAAACAGCTTGTGCACATGAAATGCAATTTTTATGATAAAGATGGCCCTAAATGCGGCCCAAAGGGCCACGCATAATATTCCGTGAATGTAATGCTACAGAAAGCTGTCCGAGGCTGCAGACATGCAACAGGACATAGTCAAAGACTACAGGTATGCTACAGAAGCTCAGAGACTGTGGACTTCCTTCAAGATCCAGTTATAGAACCAACGAAACAATGGAACTACTGGAAGTATATGCACTTTTTCAATTTTTTGTAATAGTATATTAAGTATAAATAGCCTTCCGCAGCTGTATTTGGCCTTCTTTAAGTTACTTTGAATGCAACAGGTCTTCCTGAGACCATTTCTGTTATAGTAAAAGAAGATCGAACTCACCCTCCTCTGCTTTTTTACATGTGTTACATGTACATGTGTTTAAGTGTTAGGCATTGTTGATAAGTGCTGCAATATACATTCTATCTACCCAAACCCTAAATCATGGGTTTGTATTGTATTGACATTCTAATGTCTTTCCATATTTTTGGTTATGGGAAATGCTGACAGTATAAATAAATAGGATCCAGAGCCATAACTTTGTGTAACAAGGCCCCACAGAAAATCCATTTGTAGGCAGGTGCAGCCTACTTTCTCCACTGCAGGTGGTGTTCGGCCATAGCAGCATTGCAGAGAGGGAGGAAGTCAAGAGGAACACGGTTCCTCTATGATTTTCTAGGTCACTGGGAAAGCTATCCGGTTGGATGCTGCCGCGCAATTGACTCTGGCATCCATCTTGGGTCAAGCAGAGTCTATTTAAGACCCTGGCTCCTGAGCTTGGCACACATTCCGTGTGGGTAGGGTAGGGACAGGTTACCCATCTGTTAGAGACAGTGAATACCAGTAGGTTCCAGATGACTAGGGTAAATGTAATTACACGCCATCCTTCCTGGAAGCCTCCCATTTGGGTACAGACGAGGCAGGCCACATTCCGCCCTCAAGACAGATGCCGTCGGCACATCCAGGACCTGCACTGCTACACATCACTGTTACATCAAATGAGTGTTCCTAGTTGGGTGCCTTCCCACTGGGCTTGTTGTGAAGCGTGAACTTTAACTTTAATACAAGTTTTGTTCCCTGCAACTGCAGTGTTTACTGCCGCAGCACCACTCCACACAATAAAAGGCCCAGTTTTAGTAAAAGCCCCCCCCCCCCCTTCCCCAATGTGTATGTGTAATATACATATCTATGTAGCACCAGGAAAGTCCTAACCAGGGGCGGGCTGACAACTCATGGGGCCCCTGGGCAATAGGGGATCATGGGGCCCCTGTGTCCTTGCCCACACTCAAAAAAGCCTATAAAAAAAGATACCAGGGGCATTTCATGGGGCCCCCTACTGACCCCGGGCCCTCGAATGGTCAGTCCGCCCCTGGTCCTAACATATTTTCTATTTTCCCTAATCTTTATCAATAAAGGGATGTGGTGTGCTGACCTGATAGGCCATCTTAAATAATTGAGGTGTAGCTAGGTGCGTGATGTTTCCCCTAGAGATCAAGAAAGTCATGTCCCAAAGTGAAACTAAATCAAGGAAGCACACAAAGGAGTGTATTCTGGCTAATAAAAGTAATTTTTATCTTTATTTCTTGCTCTTATGCATGACTTTTTAAAGTTTAAAAATGGTTGATGGGCTCACTTTAACCTACAAGTAATTTGAGGTCTCTGGGTATCTTCAACTGCTTAATGTCTGTCTCAAAACAGAGATTAGTAGCTGCAGTTCAGCTGAATAGCAAGAGAAAATGCAAAGGGGCACCTTAGAACATGCCAGTTCATGTGCATTGTCACTTCTGTACAGAGAGATAGAATTTTTAACATTTAAAAACATTTAAATCACCATAAGGATTGCCAAGTATAATAAAAGTATACTTACTATGGGTATTAGCCTGCTTATCTACAATAAAAAAGAAAGAAAAAGGTGCTAATTAGCTGCAGTATGACTTTGTAATTTATTACTAGTTCTTTTAAAGCTACAGTACTTGTAAGGTACTAAGCTGAACAACAGCAAAATGTGGTGAAAATAAATGCAATAAATGGGCAAACGTGACCGTAACACTTATACAAGATTTGTAGACACCCTATTCCAGAACCATGGGCATTATTAAGGACCCCCCTTCCCACTTTACAGCCATAACAGCCTTCATCGTGAAAAGGATTTCCACAAGATTTTGTATGTCTGTGGGAATTCGTTTCCTTTCAGCCAAAAGAGCATTTGTGGGGTGAGCAATGGGAATGAGCTCAGGCGTGTTTGGGTCCTAGTCCGAACCTGCCTGAGATATCACTGCTCACCGCCAATCATAGGCAGCCAAGACGTTTGCCTTCCCACAGCTGCAAGTATTCAAGCCCCTTGTATACATACAGCTGCAGGGAGGGAATGTCACAGTCACTTATGATTGGTGGTGAGCAGTGACAGCTGTATGGTGGGATAGCTCAAGCAGGTTTGAACTAAGACCCAAACATGCCTGAGCTCGTCCCTTTTCAAATTTGATGCCAGACAATGAGTGTGCCAATTCATCCCTAAGGCGTTTATTAGGGTCAAGGTCAGGGTTCTGCACATGTCAGTCAAGATTATTCACACCAAACTCATAAAACTATGTCTATGATTATGGAGTTGGTTTCATGCACAGGGACACAGTCATGCTAAACCAGAAAAGGGCCTTCTACAAACTGTTGCCACAGGGTTGCATGATTGTCTGAAATATCTATTTATTTGATGTAGCACTAAGAGTACCCTTCACTGGAAACACCTGAACTCAATAATTTAAAGGGGTGTCCTCACACTTTTGGCCTTATAGTTGGTCTGATGGTCAGGTGCCCACAAACATTTAGCCATATGGTGTAAATTGAAAGAAAAGTCATTTTAATTGCATTGCTACATGGTTTTCACTCCAACTTTCAGGGCACCAATATTATCCTACCTTTGTTTCCAGCCACACCTCACCAATCATCACTTTACTCACTGCAGGATCGATGACATAACTTCCTAAATTTTTACCATCTAGGCCAGACTTATGTAGAGCCAACATATTCCGTGGCCAAAGGCAGCAGGCCTAACAGTGCTGGTATGCAGGTACAGACACTGACTATCAGTAAAAGGTTACAATATATAATGGAAAGGTTCAGACCCAGAAAGATGTGGCTGCTAGTGTGGATTGGTCTTCCTTGTTGCTGTCCCTCCAGTTTGGGCATTGTTGTTGGTGCAATTGTGTGGCTACAATTTACAATTCTGGGTCCATACAGGACTTTAGCAGAGTAGGGTGACAGTTAAATATATGAGAAATATGTCCCTGGCTATCTGTATCAACTGGCTCAAATCAACCTTAAAATCAATACAAAATTTGAACATTCTTACTAATGTCCAATACTTCTACAAACAGGCCCAGAGAATCAGTAGTGGAAAGCAGTGCCTTCATTTATCCTGACTACCTGTCCCTTATATGCCCTAGCTTTCCTCCATTCCGCTCCCAACTTACTGAACACAGGAAGTGTGCATGTCCCTTCCCTTAAGAAAAGAGGGTCCAGTTACGTGACTTAAGGTTCTTGCAGTTGAGTACCAAAAATGCCACATTTTTAGGTGTTCAGAAGTTCTTGTTACTGATCTAAAGCAATCCATTGCTTTCAAAGGGGCTGTACACACAGATATGTAATTAGCACTAAACTAGATAGTTTAGATCAGTAAAAAAAAAATACAAAAATCTGCATTGCTGGTCAGTATTTTATGCAAATAACTGTACATACAAGTACTCAAAACAGGAATGGTTTTACAGGTGGAGCCCACTGACATTTTTTTCCCTACTCATCTTTTCTTACTGTTTTTCACTAGTTCTGCTAGGGGCAGTGTCACTACTTGTAGCATGAGGCGATACCCGGACCTTACAGAGGTTGCATAGGCAGTCCAACTCAATACGTGCCATTGACAGAAGGTTTGCTGTGTCTCCCAGAACAGTCCCAAGAGCATGGAGGAGATTCCAGGAGACAGGCAGTTACTCTAGGAGAGCTGGAAAAGGCCGTAGAAGGTCCTTAACCAATCAGCAGGACCAGTATCTGCTCCTTTGTGCAAGGAGGAGCAGGAGGAGCACTGCCAGAGCCCTGCAAAATGACCTCCAGCAGGCCACTGGAGTGAATGTCTCTGATCAAAAAATCAGAAACAGACTTCATGTGAATAGCCAGAGGGCCCAATGTCCTCTAGTGGGCCCCGTGCTCACTGCCCAGCACCATAGAGCTCAATTGTCATTTGCCATTGAACACCAGAATTGGCAGGTCCATCGTTGACACCCTGTGCTTTTCACAGATGAGAGCAGGTTCACCCTGAGCACATGTGACAGACATGAAAGGTTCTGGAGAAGCTGTGGAGAATGTTATGCTGCCTGTAACATCATTCATCATAAACGTTTTGGTGGTGGGTCAGTGATGCTCTGGGGAGGCATATCCATGGAGGGATGCACAGACCTCTACAGGCTAGACCAGTGGTCGGCAAGCCGCGGCTCGCGAGCCACATGTGGCTCTTTACAAGCTTAAATGCGGCTCTTCTGTGTGCCGGGCGCCCGCTCCCCTCCCTCCTCTCCCTCCTCTCCCTCCTCTCCCTCCTCTCGGACGGGCGTGTGCCGGGCGGCCGCCCCCCTCACCTCCCCTCACCTCCCCTCCCCTCCCCTCCCTCCTCTCGGACGGCCGCCCGCTCCCCTCCCTCCTCTCGGGCGGCCGCCCCAAAAGTCAGGACTCTGCAGCTGTCAGGATGTAGGCGGGGCAGCCAGGATGTAGGCGGGGCAGCGTGACGAACTCCTCTCCTCTCACAGTCCGCCCTGAAGACCAGAACGGCGCGGGAAGCACGACGAGAGGAACGCGCGGAGCAAAGGTAAGTGAATTGACACAGGGGGGACTTACTATATGGGGGATGAATTACTATATGGGGGACTTACTATATGGAGGGGACTTACTATATGGGGGGGGGACTTACTATATGGGGGATGAATTACTATATGGGGGGGGGACTTACTATATGGGGGGGCTTACTATATGGGGGATGAATTACTATATGGGAGATGAATTACTATATGGGGGATGAATTACTATATGGGGGATGAATTACTATAGGGGGGATGAATTACTATAGGGGGGATGAATTACTATGGGGGATGAATTACTATATGGGGGATGAATTACTATGGGGGATGAATTACTATATGGGGGATGAATTACTATGGGGGATGAATTACTATATGGGGGATGAATTACTATATGGGGGATGAATTACTATGGGGGATGAATTACTATATGGGGGATGAATTACTATATGGGGGATGAATTACTATATGGGGGATGAATTGCTATGGGGGATGAATTGCTATATGGGGGATGAATTGCTATATGGGGGATGAATTACTATGGGGGATGAATTACTATATGGGGGATGAATTACTCTATGGGGGATGAATTACTATATGGGGGATGAATTACTATATGGGGGATGAATTACTATATGGGGGATGAATTACTATGGGGGGGATGAATTACTATGGGGGATGAATTACTATGGGGGATGAATTACTATATGGGGGATGAATTACTATGGGGGGATGAATTACTATATGGGGGATGAATTACTATGGGGGGGATGAATTACTATGGGGGATGAATTACTATATGGGGGATGAATTACTATGGGGGATGAATTACTATGGGGGGATGAATTACTATGGGGGATGAATTACTATGGGGGATGAATTACTATATGGGGGATGAATTGCTATGGGGGATGAATTGCTATATGGGGGATGAATTGCTATATGGGGGATGAATTACTATGGGGGATGAATTACTATGGGGGATGAATTACTATATGGGGGATGAATTGCTATGGGGGATGAATTGCTATATGGGGGATGAATTACTATGGGGGATGAATTACTATATGGGGGATGAATTACTATAGGGGGGATGAATTACTCTATGGGGGATGAATTACTATATGGGGGATGAATTACTATATGGGGGATGAATTACTATGGGGGATGAATTACTATATGGGAGATGTATTTTCAGTTTTAAAAATGTGGCTCTCAAAATAAATTTCAATCGTGGTTTTGGCGAGATTTGGCTCTCAGTTGAAAAAAAAGGTTGCCCACCACTGGGCTAGACAATGGCACCCTGACTGCCATTAGGTATCGGAATTAAATCATTGGACCCATTGTCAGACCCTACACTGGTGCAGTGGGTCCTGGGTGCCTCCTGGTGCATGACAATGCCCAGTCTCATGTGGCGAGAGTATGCAGGTAGTTCCTGGAGGATGAATGAATTGATACCATTGAATGGCCCCATGCTTGCCTGACCTAAATCCAATAGGTTGCACCTCAGGTGGTCCAGGAGCTCAGTGATGCCCCTGGTCCAGATCTGGGAGGAAATAGCCCAGGACATCATCCATTGTCTCATTAGGAGCATGCCCCGACGTTGTCAGGCATGCATGCAAGGACGTGGGGGCCATACAAACTACTGAGTACCATTTTGAGATGCTGCAATGAAATTCCAGTAAAATGGACTAGCCTGCTGCATCATTTTTTCACTTTGATTTTCGGGGTGTCTTTGAATTCAGTCCTCTGTAGGTTGATAATTTTCATTTCCATCAAACGATGGGGCATCCTTACGTTGCTAACACATTACCCAGTCCATATCAGTATAGATATCCAGCATGATATTTTCCCCATTGAGATCTGATGTGTTTTCAAAGTGTTCCTTTAATTTTTTTTTGAGCAGTGCGTATATGCATATTTTATACGAACTACACTGGCATTTGCCACAGAAACGTTCCGCCAGGAAGATCCAGTAATCATACATTAGTACTGTGTGCAAGGGCCCTCTTCTCCCCCTTTATTATAGGCTTATTATAGATTTTATTTGAATTCTACATATCACAGGTAGATGCAGTTACAAGTAAAAATAATACTATACAGTGAGGAACAGAAGTATTTGAACACCCTGCGATTTTGCGATCTCCCACTTAGAAATCATGGAGGGGTCTGAAATTCACATTGTAGGTGCATTCCCACTCTGAGAGACAGAATTTTAAAAAAAATTCAGGAAATCACATTGTATGATTTTTAAAGAATTTATTTGTCTTGCACTGCTGAACATAAGTATTTGAACACCTAAGAAACAGCAAGAATTCTGGCTCTCAAAGACCTGTTACTGTGCCTTCAAAAAGTCCACCTCTACTCCACTCATTAATCTAACTTAATAGCACCTGTCTGAGCTCTTTAAAGACATCTGTCCACCCCACAGTCAGTCAGACGCCAACTACTACCATGGGCAAGACCAAAGAGCTGTCAAAAGACACCAGAGACAAAATTGTGGACCTCCACAAGGCTGGAAAGGGCTACGGGGCAATTGCCAAGCAGCTTGGTGAAAATAGATCAACTGTTGGAGCAATTGTTAGAAAATGGAAGAGGCTAAAGACGACTGTCAGTCTCCCTCGGACTGAGGCTCCATGCAAGATCTCACCTCGTGGGGTATCACGGATGATAAGAAAGGTGAGGAATCAGCCCAGAACTACAAGGGAGGAGCTGGTCAATGACATGAAGACAGCTGGGACCACAGTTTCAAAGGTCACTGTCGGTAGAACACTACGCCGTCATGGTTTCAAATCATGCATTGCACGGAAGGTTCCCCTGCTCAAGTCATCACATGTCCAGGCCCGTCTGAAGTTTGCCAATGACCATCTGGATGATCCAGAGGAGGCATGGGAGAAAGTCATGTGGTCAGATGAGACCAAAGTAGAACTTTTTGGTCTAAACTTCACTCGTCGTGTTTGGAGGAAAAAGAAGGATGAGTTGCATCCCAAGAACACCATCCCTACTGTGAAGCATGGGGGTGGTAACACCATGCTTTGGGGGTGCTTTTCTGCGAAGGGGACAGGATGACTGCACTGTATTAAGGAGAGGATGAATGGGGCCATTTATTGTGAGATTTTGAGCAACAACCTCCTTCCCTCAGTCAGAGCATTGAAGATGGGTCGTGGCTGGGTCTTCCAACATGACAACAACCTGAAGCACACAGCCAGGATAACCAAGGAGTGGCTCCGTAAGAAGCATATCAAGGTTCTGGAGTGGCCTAGCCAGTCTCCAGACCTAAATCCAATAGAAGATCTTTGGAGGGAGCTGAAACTCCGTGTTGCTCAGTGACAGCCCCGAAACCTGACAGATCTAGAGGAGATCTGTGTGGAGGAGTGGGCCAAAATCCCTGTTGCAGTGTGTGCAAACCTGGTCAAGAACTACAGGAAACGTTTGACCTCTATAATTGCAAACAAAGGCTTCTGTACCAAATATTAACACTGATTTTCTCAGGTGTTCAAATACTTATGTTCAGCAGTGCAAGACAAATAAATGCTTTAAAAATCATACAATCTGATTTCCTGAATTTTTTTTTTAAATTCTGTCTCTCGGAGTGGGAATGCACCTACAATGTGAATTTCAGACCCCTCCATGATTTCTAAGTGGGAGAACTTGCAAAATCGCAGGGGGTTCAAATACTTCTGTTCCTCACTGTATAATCTATAGCTGACCATGAAGGCTAAGCTATCTCCCTATTGGAGGAAAGGTGGGGCAACTCCATTTAAACTTTTATGAATATTCTTTTTATATATACACCAATCAGCCAAAGTTTCATGACCATCCACCTAATATTGGATAGATCCCAATTTTGCCACCAAAACAGCCCTGATCTGTCACAGCATACCTTCTAAAGGTATGCTGTGATCTATGGCACAAAGCTGTCAATAGCAGGTCCTTTAAATCCTTAAAGTAGTGAGGTGGGGCCTCAGTGGGTCCGACTTGTTTTTCCAGCACATCCCACAGATGCTCTATTGGACTGATATCTGGAGAATTTGGAGGCCAAATCAACACCTCAATCTTGGTCTTCAGGCCAGGAATGTGAATGGCGCAAAAAACCCTTTCTTACAGACAAAATGTCCGAAGAAACAACTTGTCTTGTTCCATGATACCAATCACTTTCCTTTTATTTTCCCATACCCCACTGGGAGATTCTGATTCTTAAACATGCAACAATTAAAGACCTTCTTTGTAGCACTTTGATAAATAGGCTCTCACACATTTCTTTAAAATTTACAGCTCACCGAATATACTCCGTAGACTCTTTCCTTCCCATTTTATGGCAAAAATTGTTTCTGCAAAGTACCACGTTGTTAGGAGCGTGAACAAAATCACCAGGATCCGTATAATACCTGTGTATGAGGGGAAACAAATCAATTAAATACAGGCTGTGCATTTGTTAAGATGCTTAACATCAGCAGATAGATTGGGAGGGACACAGCAGTTCAGACTGAACTTTACATAGCTGAGAACTGTGTTTTATGCCATCTCCGATCATTCTTTTTCTGTCTGCTCAGCATGGCTAATTTAACACAAATAATGCGGCTGCTACAGAGCAGGAAAAGCCAAGATGACAATTTTGACTATTTTATCACTGTGATGACTTATGGTATGAATACTAATATCATATCGCTTTCTTGTGGCGGCATATAAATTTTACACATCTTAAAGGGCAAATTTGTTCATCTGAGAAAATCTGAAAAGAAGATCATAAGGACATAAGCTACATGTTCAGCGAACCACATTTGCACTCAGAAGCTGTAATTGGAGTTTCATACTTATAAATATATATGTACCTTTAAGGAGTAAAGGGCTGTCTTCAGGTGAGTCTGCTCTCTGTGTGTGCATTGCTATATATGTCCCATAGCCAGGAGCCCAGATCATTTGTAGCTAGGGACCACACTTATTACAGGTGCCTTGTTGCAGCAGGGTGGCTTCTTACTGGCTAGTATGAAAGTATGTTTTCTATATTGTCCTGGTCATGTGCACCTTTTCCACTTTTGCTAGTTTCAAACAGATCAGAGCAATTGCCATTATAATTTTCTGGATCTGGTGTAAACATACAGTGGAAGTCTTCAGCTGCCTTGGAAAGGCTATGTCTGTGCTATGTTTGGCCATATTTTGATTTTAAATGATAAAAATTCACCTTTTAACAAAAAATAATAAATCCGCAATTTTTTTCTGCAGGTAAAAAAAAGTGCATTTACTATTTTTTGTTTTGGGAGCCTGGAAGGGATTGCACCATCAATCAGCAGATCGCTGGTGCCATGCAGGGCTCCTGCAGAACTGTCAGTGTATCTGTATCCTTGTACAGGGAAACAGATACACTCTGAAAGGAAGACTCAATGAACTACCATGGCACTCCACAGTGCCATGGTAGTTTATTAAGAACTACAAGCCAACAGCGGCAAAGGTTGTTTGACTGTGTAGTTCTCTCATTCACAGAAAACTGTGACCAGGCGCAAGCCCACGTTCTTATAAATTGTGACAGCTAGCGGGGGGAGAAGTTCCCCCACTAGCTGTCAAAATGGGGGATCAGAGGGAAGCAGGGGCGAGTCCTTTCATAATATGGGTGTAACATGTAACTTATTACAAAAGGTGAACTTATCCTTTAAGTTACAAGCCAGCACAACCCCTAGACCCAGAAAGTCTAAAAAAGGTTTGCAGAAGACCAGAGCCTGTGTTCTTCTACCTTCAGGTATCCTGTGCTCCCTCCACCCTCCTTCCTATTCTTCATAAACTAGTGAAATAAAACCACAAAAACCCAAGCTAAAGTGACTGGCCCCATGTTTTGTACATTCAGAAAAAGAAACACTCCTGGAGATGAATACCCTTTGGCAGCAAAAGGGGGACCAACTCAATATTAGGTGAGTAGTCATAGAGTTATGGTGAATGATCTTAATGTTATTCAGAAGGATGATTTTACTGTATATGTGAAATTCTTCTGGAGATGTAGGTGTCGGAAAGGGAAAATTTTTGCCTGGGTTAACTCTTAGTAAAAGCCTTAATTGGGTTCTGGAGTAGTGAGGTGCAAACTACTTTGCAGCATCTCAGGTTAGTAGAGAATTTAGCCCTGATTGTAGGTTCACTGGAAGGGGGCAGTCTGCTTCATTGGCAATCAGTTTGCTCCATTATTTTTCTCAGCTCCTCCAGGATACGGCTGACAGGAACAGGTTATGCTTCCCCCACAGATTTTGTTTCCCCCACCAATCCTTCCTCTGTCATAGCTGCCACAAATATACCCATTGTCTGTTGATGGTAGAGCTCAGAAGGGCAGTGACATCGCTGCCCATGGTCATATGACAGCTCCCAGGTCTAATAAGAACGTTTAGTACTCCTTTTGTAAGTTTACGGCATCACAGGGGTGTTTTGTATTAGAGAAAAAGTAGGCCCTCTTTTGGACCAGTTTACCAACTCACTACCACCAATAAATAGTGAATATTTGCTTAGGAATGCGTAATAATAATATAATAATAGAGTCCACTCTGGCGATTATTTGGTCATGTTTCCTCTGAAATCTGACCACGATAACAGTTGGCCAAGTAATTTGGTTATGAATCCATCACAGTTAGATCTAAATTAATATTTTAGAGATGAAGGGAGGTAGGTTGTTGGCATAGAGGTTGCATGCTGTAAGCGTCCCTTGGGACTTTAACCTGAGTAAAGAACAAATTGTTGCAATAATCGTGTAGACACTTCTTTCCTGCAGCTAAATCATTCATAAAAAGCTTTCTTGCACCATTACCAGAGTATTATAAGAAGAAATCGATCGAACGTTCAAAACCTATTTCTAAATATTACTCAGTTCAATTCCGTTTGAAATGCAACAGATCCTAAGCACTCTTAATGGTCTAATACTAATTGGAAATAGAATACATTTGGTTTAACGTTTGATCTTTCTGGATGAATTCTATCCCAAAGCATCAATGTGATTTAAAGATTTCTACTAGGTAAAAGATTAATCAACAAGAATATTTTTTTCCTGAATACAGCAATTCCTCTTCAGTAGTTTAGTAGATCTGAATAGAAAAAAGCCAGATCTCTGTCTGAGCTCTGTTCCTGCATGAGAGGTGCTGTCAAACACAAAGACATAGTGAAGAAGGGGGACTTTTTATTTACTGCGAAGGTTCTCATCTGTCCAGGTCCTTGTACAACTAGTCATAGTTACATTCAACTGGACTTGTTCTCTTTCATTTCTGATCAGCGCACTTTATGTCAAGAACATATTACAAAGCCATCCACAACACTGCCCCCAGCTACATAACCAACCTCATACACAGATACAGCCCAAATTGCCCAATCCACTCCTCCCATGATGTCCTCCTCTCTAGCTCCCTCATCACCTCCTCCCACGCTCGCCTCCAGGACTTCTCCAGAGCCTCTCCCATCCTCTGGAACTCCCTACCACAGCATGTCCGGTCAGCCCCCACCCTGTCTGCCTTTAGGCGATCTTTGAAAACTCACTTCTTCAGGGAAGCCTACCCCACCTCCACCTAAGAACTGTACTTGAATCACCTCCGCCAGATCATCCCCCGCAGCTATCACCTTTTGTATCACCTCCCCCTTCCTTTAGATTGTAAGCTCTACGAACCGGGCCCTCCTATTCCTTCTGTACTGAAATGTATTGTAATTGTACTGTCTCCCTTATATTGTAAACTGCTGTGCAAACTGTTGGCGCTATATAAATCCTGTATAATAATAATACTCCACCATCTTTAGCCACACGGGTAACTCAATCATTGTTCTGCCTCCAGAAGGGAAATTTGTCATTCCTCCCTGCAATATTAAATTTGGCCACTAGATTGGGGCCCAGAATAAATGTACTGTTTTGTAGAAACCAGAATCTATTTAGTTAATAAAAGCTCCCATCATTCTATGAAAAGGAAACAGGTGCATCCTGGGAGCTCAGACTCAATTTTAAGAACTGAGGGAGAGGAAACCACCATCATCTCTAAAGAATGTGTTGTGCACTAAACCTACATTCCCTATGGGCAGCATCACTGGTGAGCATGGACGTATTGCCAGCTACAGCTTAATCATTTCATTTTGTTTTCTGTATGGTTCATACATTGTTTTTATGTGTTTCTTACCTGTTTTTTTAATAGTTTCACCCACCCTGTTTTGTTAATAAAGCTTCAAGGCTACATTCAGTCTGGCTTATTGCAGAATAGGAGGATTTACCTACATGTCGAGTTACACACAGGGAATCGTGTAGTGAGGAAAGAACAATCACCTTAATCCAATTACTATGGTGTTGAGGCACATGTTGATGTTAATTCAAAACATTTTTGGATAGAACGAAGCACAGCCAGGTGAATGACACTGCTTACAACTAAGGAATACAGTGATGCCTTCTCCCCACCCCCAGCCATCCAACTGGACAGTGAAGAAACAGCTTCAGGCTGATGAGGTCATGTCTCTGCTCAATCCACTCTTTCCTGCCATCAGCATGTTCCTGTTTATACATTGCATGCTGCACACCTGAATGGCTCCTAGTCCTGCTCCCCACATTCTTTCCCAATTTGAATGCCGCTGTATAAAATATTTCAAGGTTTAAATACCAAGGTAAATCCAACTATTACACTAGCTGTATTAAAAAAAAGTTTAGGAAACACCTACGCCAAGGCAGTGGTGAAGAACCCCCAGGTGGCTAGGTGGGTTAGCACTTCAACTCAATGTGGCATCCTTGACCTTTAAGAGGGCGGAAGAAATTGGGTGCCAGTCACTTTAGAAAGATTAACAGAGTTTCTTGGAGGACCATAAATTCAGGGAGACAAGGGTTAGGTCACCCAAAAAATTAGCAAATATGCAGACTCCTGACTCTACTTACAGTCAATACAACAAAAAGGGCTTTTAAGTCAGAACTGACACTCTGCACTCTTCAGACTATATAGCAGCTTTAAGGTAACATACACAATCCTTGGAGAGGTCACCAGAACTTCTGGCAATGTCCACCAGCAGTAGCTTCTATACAGCTTTCTTTGATGTTCCTTATCATCAAAGTCTTCACACCTGGTGCTTCAAGTCATACTGCTAACTTGCTACTTTACTTCCCTGGAAGTACCCTCCAAAAAGACACCAGGACAATTCTAGGTCCCAGATTTAAGCCTTTCTTCTTGCAACAGGCCTTCCCAGGTAGCAGACCAGGAAGCAATAAGCCTCGAACACACAGCCACCTCTCCTGGAAGGGTCCAGGAGGCTTGAGAGCTTTGAAAAGGTCACCTCAAATATTTAAATCCTTCTTCACCATGCATTCCTGGCAATAAACCTCATAG